CATAATGGTAAGTTGGTAACGAGAGGATTTTGATGAAAATCCTTAAGAGGTAAGAAGAACATACATTCATTACAGTCCAAATAGCTACTGGTTTAGGGCCTGACCCATCAAACAAAAGGATAGCACCATCTTTCCCGCGAAAGATCTGCTCATTAGATTTTACCGACCTATAAGACTCTGGAAGCCATGTTAAAACTGCAAAGTATGGATCTGATGAACTCGCTTCAGTGGCAATGGCTGCAAATAAACAGGACGAGAACATATAATTACTGGAAAATCAAGATTTCCTGAAAAAGAAACAAAAAGATAAATAAGTAACCTTCCATGTATAATCTATACGACCATGATAAACCGAGCGTCATCACATCCCAGACAGATAACTGCGGTGTGGAAGGGGGACCATGGGATGCAGCAACAATGAAGCCTCCAGCGAATGAGAGTTCCATAATTGGCTGAAACATTTTCATATCATTTAACATTTCAACACTGGCTGTGAAGTTAATGAACATGGATTTTTGTGGTAGAAGTTTTACCGCATGAAACTTTTCAAATACAAACATGAGTTCGTTCTTTTTCGGGTCCCAGATCAAAATAACTGTTGTAGCCGCAATAGCCAGACAAGAACCATCCCCGGAAAACGCAGCAGCTGTTATTGGCTTTTTCCTGGAAAAGATTTCATCAGTTTCAATTGAGATCACAACGCCTAAGTAATGAGAGATGTTAAAAGGTTCATAAGCTTTTACTTATAAGAGCCAACTCCATGAAATATCCACTTATCCTCAGGTGTCAGATTCTTGTCACTATTGCAAACCCAAATCTTAAAAGACAACATAAAGTCATATCAGTAACACAAACGGTTACACGATTTTCCAGGGAAAAGGATTCATTACAGTGTTAAAAAACTACCTTGAAGTCCCCAGCAGAAGATGTAGTAACCGCCATGAAACGGACGGGGCTAAGGGTAATGGCTGTGATAGCAGCTTCCCTGTATAAGATACAGAAGGACAAAAAGTTACTTTCACAATGAGAATCAAGTAATCTGAAAGTTTACAAAAAACTATACAGCAAAAAAAAAAAAACCTGTGAGGTTGATTTATGACTGTCGATAAGCTGAAAGTTTTTTTGTCTGGTACAAACACCCAAAACTTGAGAGAAACTAAGCCTTCACTCAAACTCCCTGCAGCAAGTCTAACCTCAGCTGTCGTCATCACTGAGCCATTCCGGGCGAGAGCAACCGCTGATATAAAAACCTATTTTCCATAATTCTTCAAATGATTACCAAACAGAAAAAGAGGCAGATCCTTTACTAGTAATAGTTATGTCATCTTACAGACAAGAAAAAAAATGTACTAACCTGGACTTCATCATCATCTGGTTGATGATTTCTCTCGCAAACTTGAACCTGCATATGTTGTGTTTGTTAAATAATAAATAGTAAAACCATAAAACTATCAGATTTAAACTCAAAACGCCGTTTAGGATGCTAACCTCAGAAATTTCACAGTCACTTAAAAGGTTGTAGAGCTGAACACGATGATTCGATGTGGAGAAAGCAGCTATACCGGAAGAACGATCAATGGACACAGTTCTGATAAGGCATATATCCATCGTTTTGATGTAGCATAATAACCCCTTAGGCCTTGCTGGAGGCTGTAACGTAGTAAGAACACAATATACATGTGAAGTTAACTCCAATGTAAATGGAATCCAATAGAAGCATATTTAAACCAACACAACAAAGAAAAAATTTCGGATGATTAATAAGAAGTAAAAACGAACCTTGATACCAGAAATCGTTCTCAATATCTCCATGGAAGGCATTTTAAGAAAATGAATCTGATTATCTGCACAAATCACCTGAAACTTCTTGATCTTAGTAGAGTTAATAAAACATTTCCTTCGCTTTCTGCAGGTTTATATTGAAGCATAACGAGATTGTAATCGGAAAAGCTGATCTGACTTACAGAAGAAAGAGTTGGATCTGAAGAGAGGATGAAATACAACAAGGGAGATTCTATCTTTGGCATAAGTTGCGTGTTCCCTGTATCTAGCTGCCAAGCAACAAGAACCCCATCCTTTCCCCCTGAAAGAGTCACAAGCAAAGGAAATGTAGCATAAGAACTCAATATTTATATATAACTTCTGAAACATGAAATAAAAGGACACAGAGATACAGTCACAATGAGGAGAGCATAACTCAGTCTCTCACCTGAATACAAAACTGTTCCATCTGAAGAGAAATTAAGGACGGTTACTTCATGGGAATGCCAGTTGAAAACAGTGCAAGATTCAGCATCATGTTCACTTTTCACTGAAATAACTTCTCCATTACCAAATTCCTTCCAAATCAACACTCTTCCTGTTACATCGCCGGCTGCTAACATCCTCTTATCGGGATGAAAGGCGAAAACAGTAATCAACTGCGTGTGATGTAATGTCGTCGTCTCCTTTGCCATTTCCTCACAAGATGCATTCCATATATGTATTTTACAATTGTGACAAACACCGAAAAACTCTCCAGAGGGACTTATAACAATAGGTTTCGGTTCTTCCATCTGCTCATAAAACAAAATGACTTAAACCTTTTTAATCAATCTGAGCCCAAAGCATTGACCAGTCTAATAGAAGAAAAAATGGTTAACACACACAAATCTGACCTCTTTCAAAGTATCACCACTACAAAATGGCTCTTCACAGAGATTCAATCTCCGGATTTGTCCAAACAAATCTTTGGACACATTTGAACAATCCTCAACCGAAGCATAAGCAATCAAATCATCAGACACATGAGATGGAATCACCTACAAATCCAATAAAACATACTCAAAAAAGGATTTTTTCTTTTTATTATATAATTATCAAAAGTCTCAAACTTTGACACACCAAAGAGTAAACCGGAAGCTGAGCATCAACGGTCTTCAAAATCTTCGGCTCTGAGAAATCCCAAAGCCGAATTTTCCCATCAAGCGACGTCGTCCAACAGAGAAAGATGGTATTTGTCGGCAATGGAACAACAATCACAGTCGTCACAGGTGCTGTATGACCCTCGAGCGAAGTAATCTTTAACAAACAAAGCAAACAAAAAACACATCAAAGATTTGAAGAAAATGAGAAGATTATTTGAAAAAAGACAAACCCTAGAAGGAGAATCAGAGAAAAACCCGTAAGCCAGTGTCGACGCTGTAAACGGAGACGGAGTTTGCAGTGCATAAAAGAAGCTTCTTTGCGTCGTTGGAGAAAGCAGGGACGGAAGTAATGGTGTTTCTTCCGCCGCGAATCATTTTCCTTTGACTCACGGAGATTCAGACAAGACGAAAACATCTTTAATCTCCGATTATAAAAATACCCCAAGCGTTAGCGACGATTTTGCGTCGTCGGAAAAACACTGTTTTCTCGAATTTCACGATGAAGAAACGAGTCACTTTATAGGTTCGTTCCTCCTTAAAATGTGACGATCTTCTTTGGGCCTAATGAGCCTTCATTGGGCCTTTATAAGTAATTACGCTTTAGGCCATATTGTCTCTTATTTGCTTTCTTCTAGTATTTTATTTTATTTTTGTCACATTTGGTCTCTTCTATTTAATAATAGATGTTTTGCACTTTAT